AACATACTACAATCACATCTTAGCTGAGATGTGGGAGAGGAGCTATGAGGTAGACTCAGACCCAGTCACTTGTGACGCACGAATAATTTTTCAACATATCATCAACTATCTTCAAGCTGAAGCTGAAGCTTTTTAGTGGTGGACTTCGCACAGGTCCCGACAAAATCGGGACCCGATCGCCGAGCTCTGGTCCCAGATGCAAACGCCCCATCGGATATCCCGCCGAGACGTATAAGTACTTCAATAACTGCGTGCTTGAAATCGGCGATATCTGAGACCTCGCAGCATTTACTTCAGGACTGTTACTTCTGGTCCGACTTGCTCGACTGAAGAGCAAATATCTTGCTGCTTAGGCCAGCTGACGTACTTTATCCCTCGCCCATCTGCAAAGGGGTCGCTGATCCGCTAGTACACCGCTCCGTGGATACAAGCCGAGGTGGATACACGCCATGGGAATCCAACCAGGATTCCTGATCATCCTGTGTTGATTGTACTTCCTGATTAGACCTCTTACTAACAAGAGTTCACTAACTACACACTGTGGATGCGAGGCTCGAACTTGGCTAACACCGAGGAGCTACACGAAGCCTAACCACTCGACCACTACTACCTTGTATTGGAGTAGAACTCCTAGTCCGTTGACTACGTCAGAAGCCTGTTTCAACGTAAAAATTCGATGGATTCTGATAGCAAATCGCTCCGCTCCCCCTTGTTTCGTAACTTACCCAGGGTTGAAGTCGCTTCGTTGGAAAATGTTACAGGAATGTTGATCTTCAGGCTGATTTGTTGTTTGGATCACTCGCGATTCAATCAACAAATTAATCAACAGTCTGACGCAAGTAATATTATCGTGATGAAGAAAAATGAGGATCCCAAAACGTGATGGGGAAAAGTGAGGCAGAGCCGTAAGTGTGATACAGCAACAATGAGTGTGACGAAGCAGAGAGTTGACCAGACCAAACCCACTAGGCAATCAGTTGCACTCACGTGCCTTCCTACGCAGCTTCATACTTTCTACGCCTAAACACTGCCATCACACGGTGAGAGCGCGGCATCACCCATCCTGGGTCCGAGAGTTCTAAAAACTTCCTCCGACGAGAGCGATTATATCAATCGTCCCAACGCAGGCTCGCGAACGGCTAATCACGACCCAGTACCGTTATGAGGACTCCTAGAACCGCTTAAAAGACTCCCCAACGGACAATCTTCATACACTCAAACACAATTCCATATTTATATCTGGTTGCATAACAGGCTGCCCCCTGAAATTGCCGCCGGCCATCATAAGTGTGTTTTCCATGCGGGGGTGTTATTATTCTCTACTGCATTCAATCGATACATGGGGGATACACTAATTTCAGAAGCAGTGGTACGACAGTAGTAGCAGCC